GATTTCTAGACCCCGGGTGCGTCAGTTTGGGATAAATGTGTGAAATGTTCTCCCTACTCACCCCGTGTAGCTTTGTGTAGAGGCCACATGCGTTACACACCGGCTCTCCTTCTGCGTTTCTGCGCCACAGAGTCGTGGTGCTGGTCTGACAGTTGGCGCAGGACAGGCCGATTCTCCTGGACGTAGACTGAGACCAGACATATTATTATTATTATTATTATTATTATTATTATTATTATTATTATTATTGTGCACATTTGGAGCATCTGTCCCTCTAATAATAAATGTGCTTGTAATTGGAAGCCGCCCTCCACTAATTGAAACACAGTTCATCTGGTCAGAACCCATTTCCTAACCAAAATACAGGAAATATTATGGCCGCTGTTTATTTAACTTTTACAGGAGGTTGCGCTTCTGTGCCCTGGTTTGACGCTTGATCTCCGGCTAAAGAAAGGGTCTGCGTGAAGCTGCCTGACCTCACCAGATTTGTTTTGAATTGCAGTAAATCACTGAACAAAAACAATAAGTTGAAAAAAATATATATATATTTAAAGGCCCTTCGGGTTATTTTCAACTTTAATTTAAACGCTCAGATTAATTAACGTTAAACGTATTTTAACCGAAATGAATCAAATCCCATTTTAGTTTTTAATGCTGAATATTTAAACAGAATATTTTTAATTTTTTTTTAAATATGAATTTTGCTGTAAATTTGCCGCCGCTGTCCTCCTGCCGTTTTCTGACTGTCAGACAGTGTATTAAGCCTCTAAGTGCCCCCCCTCCCTCCCAGACCCCCATCCTTTTTTTTTCCTCCCCCCTCATCATGCTCACCGTCCGTTTCTGTGGTTTAATTAATGGCCTGCTCAGTCCATTCATTTTGCTGTAGAGGCCACAGGCGTTGCAGAGAAAGTGACCCGTGCCGTCGCGCCTCCACAGCGGCGTGGAGATGGAGCCGCAGTTGACGCACTCTCTGCTCTCCCCCAGGTCATCCAGAATATCTGAAACTGGGGGTGAGGAGAAGGGAAGAGTCAGAGTCAGAGTCAGGGAGCAGATCAGACGAACAGAATTTGTTTGTTACTATTTGTCTGAGGTGGCGACAGACGAAGCCAGAAAAATAAAATCACATCCACATGTCACTTCTCTGGCCAGTGAAGTTATTACCAAAATATTTTTACCGAGAGAAAATTCAGAACTAATTTTTAACAACTGAATATTATTTTTCTGGAAGGTTTTGTCAAACATAGTTTTAGTCTGAATGGGAGTTTTTTGGCTTTTACGCAGATATGGTGTTCTATTACCAAAAACAATTTCCCATCCCGTAAAAACTCCTCCATCACAGTGACATACTCTGATTTTTATTTATTTATATTTTTTAAATTCCTTTCTTATTTAGTTTTTTTTTTAGTTTTTTTTTTTTTTTTTTTTACCTCCGTTTGGTCCTCGGATCAGGGGTGCACTCCTGCTCTGTAGAGTGTGCAGCATAGTGTTTTCAAAAGCCCCTCCGGACCACGGTGAGGGCAGCTGTGAGAGCTGTGGTGCAACATAAGGAGAGTAGGGACTCGGGTAAGTCCCGCTCAGGGGCCTCGACAGTCCGTACTGGTCTCTGTTGCTCATGTTTAGCGTGTTGCTGTAACCGCTGTCTCTCGGTGTTCCGTTGTTCATAGGCGGGCTGGGAGGATAGTGGAAGCGGCTGGAGGTGTGCGGGCTCCCGGTGCTGTATGACGGACTCTCCGGTGTGGTCTGAGACCAGACCGAGTGGCCCGACATGGCGTGGCCGGGTTGCGCAGAGCCGCCAGCCTGCAAGTAAGACAGGCTGGGGATCATCGGACCCACCCTGGAGCTGGGCACGTAGACGGGGGAGTTGGGGTTGGAGTGCATGTAACCCCCAGAGGAGGAGTCGTATCCAGTCTGACTTTGCGCAGCGGCGATGGCCAGTGTCTGGTACACGTCGGCCGAGTCCACCAGCAGGCTCGCCTTGTGCGCCCCGCTGGACAGGACGAGTTTACTGCCCTGATCCAAGTCCGTGAACAGCGGCATGTCCTCGGCGGTGGCCAGGCTGTTGTTGTGGTGTCCAAAGTGGACGTAGGAGTGTAGTGACCTGCCGTCCAGCCGGCGGTGACCCAGTGCGTCAAGCTCGCTCGGAGGTGTCCTCAGCCCCTCCGAGGAGGACGCGTCCCTCCTGCTGTCACCGGGCAGGTAGCTCTGCTCAGCCGGTGACCCTGGGCTGCTGGATACTTCGCGTTTGACCATGGACCAGCTGTTTTCGCCCAGGTCCATCCAGGAGCAATTTCCATACACGTTAGGAGTCAACAAAGATGATCAGGGAGTAGAGTCCACCCTGGATGGAGCAAAAGAACACGAGTTAGGGCAAAAAATGAAAAAATTAAAATAAAATAAAAATCCAAACGTGTCCAGAAACCATCAGGCCAGTGTTCGGGAGAAACCCAGAGCCCAGGCCGATGTAGAGTTAGTTTTCAGCAGTGCGTTCACTGGGTCATCCATGACTCCGACACAGAGTCCATTTCACAGTGAGTGCCATCAGCTCCCATAAGGAGCGCTTAAAAGGCATGTGTGTCATCTCCCCACACAGGAAACAAAACGCAATATGTCTTCACAGCGAGCGAGATAACTGTTTGATAAGAGCAGAAACAGATAAGAAGGAGAGGCGATAAAAAAGAAAAAAAAAACTACTACACCATGAATGATGAGACTGAAATCCCTCCGCGGCCACAGCCGCCGCACCGAAATAAGACTGAAGTAAAACTAGAGTAAAAGCCTGAAAACAAATAAAGTGAGTGAGTGAGGAGCGAGTACCTGTTACTGCTGTGCCATAGAGAGTGGTTCCTGTGAGCCGCGGATCCTCCTGGAACTGCTGGGGAAAAACTTCTGCTCCGACTCTGTTTATGAGAGGAGGCGCCTGAGCTGCGCGTCTGTGCTGCAGGAGGACCAATCAAGCGCAAAGACCGAGCGGCCGCAAACACGGCGGGGGTTCGAGTCCGTCAACTCCTCCAATCATCAGTCACACACGCTGAGAGAAAAAGGGAGGGTAGAGAAAAAGAGAGAGAGAGAGAGAGGGATTGATCATGTCTGCAGATTATAATCTCAAGTAAATGTAATCAAGGCACAGATGACGCTCCTCCCCCTCTACCACAGACCGACTGTCATTGATCAATAATACGTCACAAATGATTGATTCTAACAATAACTCAAATCTTATTTTACTCATTTTACACGATGTTGTTGCGTCACTTTATTTTTTAAGTCTTTTTTTTCCCTCGGGGATTCGATAAAAACTAAAAAATAAGTAATTATTCTGGTCGTTTTAATCACTGCAATATTTATACTTGCATTATACACGTGTTTGTACTTGATTTATGTACTGGAGTATTTATTTAGATTTTTTAGTATACATAATATTAATATTGTGGGTTTATTAAGATTGTATTTATTCCAATATTTAATGTCATGTGTGAATATTTGCTTAGTTCTATTATCTATAAATTAAATCCGATTTTTAAAGGAAGAAAACCGGACGTCCGACGTAATTTATAAAATAGAGTTTTAGAATTTAGAGAAATATGAGGATATGGTTAATAACTTTAATGTCACAGACATGATTAGTTTTATCTCAAATTATTAATAAATAATATTTATTGCTGAAGAAGAAAAATATAAAAATAAATATGTCAGTATTATCTTTTATTTTTTCAAATCAAATATTGCTATATAATTTGATATTAAAATATATAAAACAAACATCGTATGTATGAGCTATTAGAGAAAAGTAGGGCAGAATTCTCACTTAAATTTTTAAACGAAAAATATCGTTGGATGTTTAATCTTTTTCGTTGTTAAAGATACTTTTTTATAAAACAAATTCACAATTCTGGAGGGAATTTGCAAATGTGTGACTTTAACTGGTAGAATATGCAGAAAAAACAATAAATGTCCATGTTTTTATTTAGAATTTAAATCGTGTAATTTGTTTTAAATGCATTGAACTACAGTCGTACAACGGAGTTTTAAAATATTTTAACATTTAAAAATGCATAGCAGAGCCATGTATTTGCAGCAGTAGCTTGAATATCGGATGTGAATTCTCCCGCTATCACGGTTAATAACACAGGTATCATCTGCTACAACACGCCGTTATCTGTGAATGATTCCAGATTATTTTTGTTCCTATCTGCTCAGAGATAATCTGCAGCCGCGCGATGATGATGATAAGGATGATGATGTGAATAAATTTTGGGCAGAATTATTCAACGGCCTTAAAAATAAATAAATAAATCCAAGTCGAATTAAGGCCGTGTTCGATTAGCCAGAGTCGATTTTTTCGTTTGTTTATTGCTCTGCTCTTCAGAACGTGCTGTAAATGAGTTGATTTTCTTTCAAGCTCAGACGCGTTCATTCAGGATGAAAGGCTCTGATGCATGAGGAGCAGCGGCAGCACAAACTGACGTCACGTCTCTGCTTTCAATCGCAGGTGATTCGTTCACGGCCCAATATACATGAATGTGCAGGAGGGAAGTGATCAAGAGTGGAGGCCGAGGTGTCAATTCAATCATTGCAGCTGCATAGAAGCTGCAGCAACATCACACTCAGGGCCATCAGACTGCCGTCTGCACCGCTGGAGGCAGCAGTCATCGCCACGCTGCACCGAGATGACGTAGGAGGAGACCTTCATCACCGACGACTCAAGTGTGTGCCGTCATAAAGGATTAGTCAAATAGATTAACAATTAAAGACACACGTCTTACTTTAACTGTTGATCTATCGCATCAACTATAACCTCTTTTCTTTAAATTCTAATTTAATTTTTTTGTATTTACATTTTATTCTTCCTGGTCCTGATGTAATTTAAGATAAATTTTGACTAGATATATTTTTCCTGTTGACGGAAATGTGTGATGCGCTTCATTTTGTTGTTTTTTTTTCACACACACATAAATCTTCGCAGCTGGATTTTGTTTTTAGTTTGTCTGGCAAATATTAAATATTTTGGCCAATACTTGACAGAGCTTTTCTTATATTCGGCTAACTTGTAGCCAGTTAAGGCTAAACTGTAATTATCCCTTACTTTTAACATTTTTTTTAAATGTTTACATTTTTTAAAATTACATTTCCATATTAAATGGTGATTCTGGCTTAACAGCAAAAGTTGAATACCGAAAAGCTGCGTCTCACTAAATTAGGGTAATTTTTCAGCCAACTTTGAGTGCATTTTACTTATTGTTAACTTTATGTTCACACTAACGCTCCTTCTTCTCTCAGTCTACTCTCAGCCTGTTCCTACCACAGAGCAGAGTCAGATTTGGAACTTTCTCTCTAAAAAGTCAGAGAGGGAGTTACCAAGCTACTGTTTCTCGGCCCACCACTGTCTCCATTGTCTCCACTGAGCAGTTTGAAGCCTGGGGCAGGTACGCAGGTACACACACTCTCTCTCTCTCTCTCTCTCTCTCTCGCTCTCTCTCCTCCTCCTCCTCCTCCTCCTCCACCTCCTCCTCCTTCTCCTCCTTCTCCTCCACCCCACTTCTTTCTGGGTTGATAAATGAGGTGTTTTCACAGGGATGTCAAAAAAAGTGTGCAGCTCGGACACAAAATGTCTGTGAGGAGAAGTGACAGGACGCCACCCTGTCTCCACATTTATCCAGGCAGTGGTTTGTAGGGGAGTAAGGAGCAGCCAGTCACTGGGCACTGACCCACAGCCATAATCTCATTACCGTTATCGCAGAAATTACCTTAAAAACCCAACTTGGATTCAACCTTTTGGTGCCTCGTTCAATATAATATAATGTAATATAATATGGATTACTTAAAGATTATTATATTTTATTATACTTTTTTTTACCACATTATAGTGTCTTTTGTAATTTGATAAGAAATTAGAAATTTATTTATGAATTAAAACAATTTTATTTTGCTAATATAATTTATAGAGTGGCTAGATAATTATTACAGGAGAAATAAAGGCATTAACTTATACATATATATGTTGATGCAATTATTTAAAGAGTCCTTTGTATTATTAAAATGATTGTTAATTGAACCTAACTGTAATGCAGCATGGTCTAAGTGAACCTCAGAGATCCAAGAGTTTGTATTAAACTTTACCTAATTATGGAATGTATTCATGAATCTGTGAATACCTGTGCAGGTCTGATTCTGCTGCTCTTCCACTGAAGGGGCAGTTTGTCCAGAGCTGCAGCAGAAAAGGCTGCTGGGAGTCTGTGAACGTCCCACTCTCCTGTTTGAAGTGGTAGATGATTAAACGGGCTGTGACAGGTGTAAAAGCAACCTTTGTCATTTTGGACATTCAGCGACCTCGCTTCTTTTGGATCGCCCACTGTGGAACGCCTCTCTCTCACCTGCACTGCTTGTACTGTGTGTTAAGGTCTGCTCATGTGGTGTGTGTGTGTGTGTGTGTGAGAGAGAGAGAGAGAGAAGACAACACTTTGTTTATGACAGCTTCACCACCAGCAACACATTCTCTGTCATTTTCTTATGATGAATATATGACAATTACATTTAAAGAGTGTTTGCTCAGTTTTTGACCTCAAAAGATTTTTTTTTCTTGTGCCATTCTATCCTGAATGCATATTTTGGGAAACAAACCTACAATTTAGGCCAAATTTGGAAAAAGAAATTGGTAAATGTTGCAGTAGAATTTGGGTTTTAGTTTGTTTTGTTTTTTTTCACTCCTAATATCACATTTATTGACATTTTTTAAAAGAAATACTATACACTAAATACCAGTATTGAGGCACAAACTTAAATTTTAGTGCATTTTCTGAACTTTTTATTTTTTGTATTTTTGGTTGAGGTTATTCCAAAGTATTTTGGTCAAATTTCGAGGCCCAAAAAAGACGTTTTTTAAAAGATTGTTTAACTAAATGCATATTTGAGAGCATTTTTGGACAGATTTGTTTGTTGTTGTATTTGGACTATAGTAATATTCAACTCAAGTTATTTGGATGAAATTTTTTACTGTAAATTGTTTTTGTAAAACTACCAGTCTAAAAATCTACTCAAGTAAAAAGAAGAACAATTAAAATGAAATAAAAGTAAAAGCTCCGTTTTTAACAGTGGATGTTGAGGAGCTCCCTTAAGCGATATAAATCTCAGTCTAGATGTCTTTATTTAAAAATAGCTAAATTAATTGCTAACAAAGTAAAGCATGTCGACACATTTCATTTAAATCATTTTGGAGGTATGTGTTATTTTATTGCAGACCATAAACATACACATAGGTTAAGCCAAGAGTACAGTGTTTAGCTACTTGGCACTGGTCCTTCGTGTCGGCCCCTTTTTTTTATTCTCTTTAAGTAAGCGTGCAAGAGAGTCATTATAGTTATGCACTCAAAAAAAACACTGTTGCAATAAAAACAATAGTAACATTGAAACTCTGCTGCGGGAGCCCCGACCCACAGAGACGGACCAATGAAGCTGTTTTTGCGGTGTTGGTACGTCACAAAGATGAGGCAAAACAGGCCAATGAAAAGGTACCGGCGTGTGACGTCAAATGCTGAAAAAGTCCGCCAAGTGCTTTAGAAAGCCACAGGTGAACGGCGTTATTCCTCATTAGCAGATCGACCTGATCGGAGTGGACGGCTGAGATAGAACGGTGAGCGACGGCTGGATTTTTCTGCTCTACTACTGGCGTTTTGACTGTTGTTGTATTGTTTGCTACGTAGCTTAAACTTCACTTAAGGTGGAAGAAAGTTTTATTTTAATTTTGCTGAAACTACTGAAAAATGACAGAGCCTCGTGTTGAGAACGTGTTCACTCTTCGAGTCATG